ACTTACAGGCTTAAATGAGGTACCATTGGATTTGTAATTTTAATTTTCATCTAGCTGTTACAATTTCGTAAGTAAAAACACAAAAAATAAAACTTCACTACCATCCCTACCTATTGTATATCTTTCAGTTTGAGAAACACTATCAATGTGTTATCAGACCATGAAACAGCACTGTCCAGGCAGTTGGAAGTCACTAGAAGCAAGACACAGGAGAGCAGGTAGAGGGTTACATTTATGTGGTAGATTATGTTCACTGTCATCTTTTGGTTACATTTATGTGGCAAATTATGTTCACTGTCATCTTTTTGTTACATTTATGTGGCAAATTTTGTTCACTGTCATCTTTTGGTTACATTTATGTGGCAAATTATGTTCACTGTCATCTTTTTGTTACATTTATGTGGCAAATTTTGTTCACTGTCATCTTTTAGTTACATTTATGTGGCAAATTATGTTCACTGTCATCTTTTTGTTACATTTATGTGGCAAATTATGTTCACTGTCATCTTTTGGTTACATTTATGTGGCAAATTATGTTCACTGTCATCTTTTGGTTACATTTATGTGGCAAATTTTGTTCACTGACATCTTTTTTTCTTTACGTCCTCTTTTACCGCTTCAAGTGTCGAGGAAGATATAAGGTCCTGCTTCGTGCTTTTCTGGCACATTGTGGTGATGTAGAGTTTCTTTGATGTTATCCGTCCATGTTGTTCTGGGTCTGCCTCTTGCTCTATGTCCCTCTCCTCTTTTGGTATATGCTTTGTATGGTATAGCATCAGGAGGCATTCTCTCCAAGCGGGCAAACCATTTGATTTGCTGCCTTTCTAAATAACTTAGAATTGATTCTGTGCCGATTGTATCTTATATGACCTCATTCTGGATTTTATCTTTTCTGGTCACTCCTACAGTCTTTCTCAGACACCTCATTTCCATGGTTACTGATGTTCTTCTATGTTTTGTTGTGAGTGACCACGTCTGGCACTGGTAGCGTAGGGTAGGAATGAATATGCGTTGTATGAGATGTCTCTTTGTGCTGATTAGGACTGTCATCAACCTGATATATGTCACACCTTGGGCTTGTCATGCAGCTGCCAGATCATTCTGTTTCATCATTTATGAAACCAGTTATCCCACTAACGGGCTGCATTTTGTTGTTTTAAAGCCAAACTCTGGCTGTGGCAGGGCGCCATAGTATAACCTAACGGTTAAACAGGGTTTCTGTGACCTCTCCTGGGGTGATCCACATTTGAATGTTGGCACTTTGCGTCACTGGGTCTTTATCACTCAGTGTGATGTCCTGGTGGGGTTGAATGTCAGTCAGTTCTATTTCATAGTTGCCTTTTGCATGCTGCTGTCTGTAATTTCATACCTGTCTGCACTGCTAGATTTGTGCCATACCTGTCTGTACTGCTAGATTTGTGCCATATCTGTCTGCACTGCTAGATTTGTGCCATATCTGTCTGCAGTGCTAGATTTGTGCCATATCTGTCTGAAGTGCTAGATTTGTGCCATACCTGTCTGCACTGCTAGATTTGTGCCATATCTGTCTGAAGTGCTAGATTTATGCCATATCTGTCTGCACTGCTAGATTTGTGCCATATCTGTCTGCACTGCTAGATTTGTGCCATATCTGTCTGAAGTGCTAGATTTGTGCCATATCTGTCTGCAGTGATATATTTGTGCATGTCTGCTTTTGTGCGTGTCTATCAGTGTTGATAAATCTGTGCATCTCTGTCTAAACTTATTTAGTTGTGCTTGTCTTTTTTCTGTATTGAAAGATTTGTACCTGTCTGTCGGTGTTGATATGTTTGTGCATGTCTGTCAGTGTTGATAGATTTGTGCGTGTATGACTACATTGATATAGTTGTGCTTGTCTTTCTGTATTGATAGATTTATACATGTCTGTTGGTTGGTATTGATAGATTTGTGCGTGTCTGTCTACATTGCTGTATTTGTGCATTTATGTCTGTATTGACAAAGTTATGCAGCACACAGGGTTTTACAAACTCATCTTCATTTTCGACCCAGAGTTTGCAGGTGTGAAAAAAAATGAGAGAGCAGACCCTCTGACTGGTAGCGTGACTATCACAAATGGGCCATCTATGGAGAGGAGAGACATCATCAATGCCATACAAGATACTAAACGCTGTGAGGCTTACAGTTAGGTGAAAAAAGTTTTCACTGAATAGACTGCATACCCTAGACATACCAGTTAGAGCCGCAATGCAGGGAAACCATGCGGGAGCCACCCGTCGTTATACAGGCCAGAGCAGAATGAGAGTTGTTAGGCTAAAAACACTTGGAGATTTACTCAGGAGGAGATCAGAGTACTTATGGTCATATCTGATGTGCAAGCAAGAAGACCTATAAAATGAACAATGAACAATGTTACAGTTATGCATACCATTTTGATAACAATTGGGCTTTGGCTGACACCTTCCTCCTTCCTTCTCCCCCACTTCTGCATTCATGGGCCTTTTTGCCCCCATTTGTAAATGTTGTAGGGTATGACAAAGCCTGAGTCTTGCTCTTAAAATTTCTTGATGCCTTCAAAAATAAACAGATGAGGTGTGGAAAAGAGGGAAAAGGGGGGGGGGGGGGAGAACCCATTAGGCTGTAGAAACAGTATATCAAAGAGGCACACACTGATGGATACTCATAGAAAAAAAGTACAAAGACAAAAGGATACATTTTAATTAAAAGCTGTAGTTACCATGCTGATGATGACAGCGCCTCGCTGTAGGAACAGGTATAATAAGACGCATGACCATCTAGACACACATTTATTCTTTTAACACCATCTTTAAAAATGTAACTTGTCTCATTTTTATATTTTTTTTCCATTTTATTATTCAACAACTTTCATTTCATGACCTTTTATGTCAGATCCTCTGTATTGATGTGTTTTTTTCACCAATAAAATACGACCATTTCTTTTGTGTATCCCCCGTCTCTTGAGATCTAGTTCAGTTTGTTAAAATTGCTTATTCAACGTTCAACATTTATATTATAACTGTTATTCCTTATTGTGTCTCTTAGTTTTTCTAGTTGTATGCAACTTAGTTTTTCTAGCTGTGTGCAACTTAGTTTTTCTAGCTGTGTGCAACCTAGTTTTTCTAGCTGTGTGCAACCTAGTTTTTCTAGTTGTATGCAACTTCGTTTTTCTAGCTGTATGCAACTTAGTTTTTCTAGTTGTATGCAACCTAGTTTTTCTAGCTGTGTGCAACTTAGTTTTTCTAGCTGTGTGCAACTTAGTTTTTCTAGTTGTGTGCAACTTAGTTTTTCTAGCTGTGTGCAACCTAGTTTTTTTTAGCTGTGTGCAACTTAGTTTTTCTAGTTGTATGCAACTTAGTTTTTCTAGTTGTATGCAACTTAGTTTTTCTAACTGTATGCAACTTAGTTTTTCTAGTTGTATGCAACTTAGTTTTTCTAGATGTAAGCAACTTAGTTTTTCTAGCTGTATGCAACTTAGTTTTTCTAGTTGTATGCAACTTAGTTTTGTAGTTGTATGCAACATTACCTTGCTAACTTATGTGACCCTCTTTAAATCTTCTTTTTCTTTACGTTCACCGGCTTTAAACTCTGGCAGAAAGTTCTGGTTGTTGGTCCATTTCTGGACTCTAGTCCTGTTCCAGAAACAGAGTAATGTGTGCACATCAGTTTCACAGGTCTGATTCATTTGCATGCAGACTTTTGGTTCCTTGCCTCTCAGGCAGGTGTACTCCGACTTCGAAGGAAGCTCCCATTTAGTCGACTCTTAGGACATGCTTGTTGGGGAGGAGGCAGTCAGTGTGTTCTTGTTTACCCCACAATTGGGCTCCTGGACCCACACTTGAATCTCTTCAAATGAGTTGTGAGGTCTGCAGGCTTCCCACTGCTGGCTTTTAAAGACACAGCCCGTGATGTTCTATATATGGAAGTCAGATTAAACAGTCATAAGTAGGATGTGAGGATTCCTTGTGTGAGCTTAGTGCCAGAGCACTGTGTATGGAAGTGTCCTTGAATGGCAGGGAATCTCATGTTCTGCCCCTGCCTCCTCCTGAGGGCGGACCAGCATTACATGATTTCTATGGACCGGCCTGATGTAGGGTACCACCTGTGACCTAGGAAACAAAGATGACCATACAACAACAAAACTAACTGGGTAGGCTAACCTGGTCAACAAATGCCTGCAGAAGTCAGATGTGTGGGCCGAAAGGTGTAAATATCACAGCCATGCTGTAAACAGGCACAACAAAGTTACATCGTAGGATAAACACAAAAGAAGAAGAAATGAGTGTTGAGGAAAAAAAGTGCTTCAGATCACATCTAATGGAATACAGGAAAAGCACATCCGAATTCTGATTATTTTCTAAGCACTTGTCACCTATCATAGTTCTTCTTACAGTCTATGCAGAGTGGTGTTGCTAGTCATGTCTATCTACAACATTGTTTCTTGTGTACTTTCAGTCAGTTCTGACACAGATAGATGATCTTCCATGCCATGATGTCAGACTTTCCACCATCTTTTTATCTTTGTCTGCCTTTTTTCCCCTCCAACCTTCCCTTGGTCACGATGTACTCCACCTTTCTCCTTCTCATGACATGACCAGAGAATGTTGATTGTCTCTTGTGATTTGGGTAGTTCAGTTATCTTCTTAAGTCAGTTTATTTTATTTTTGTTACTCTTTTTATCTGTTCAGGGTGTTCTCATCATTTATCTTTAAGATGTAACATGTTTATGAAATTCACGAACTTTTCTCACTAGTTTCTTCATCACTACGGTCTTGGGAGAATGGCACTGCGAGGAGTACAAGGAGATCTGGCCGATGCTCGACACTCAGGGAAAAGGCGAGATGGATATACAATCAAACAATTACTGGTACTATCCAAACTTTAACCTTGGCTTGCGGCTGAAGATGAAGACGAAACGCTTATGGGGGTGTCTAGAGTGCTGTGATGTCGATTCTTAATTCAACATTTAACATTCAACATTCTTTTCATCATTGTCATTGTTTTAGGAAGTTCTATGAAGCTCAGCTGGCAAATTACTCCAGCATAAGGGACGACTACATGAAAAAGTATACAAGTTTCCCTTTGGCAGTTGAGTTGGAGAAGAAGAAACAAGCCTTGGCCGCTGCCCAAAGACAGTTGGATGATATCATGACAGTAAAGCAAGATTTGGAAAGCAGGATTGCATCGAAGGAAGGTGAGTATGTTATTCATGGCAGGGGCAAGTTAGAGAAAACAGAAGCAGAGGGAAACTAAAAGATGCTGAACAGTTTAATATCATGTCATAGAAGATCATCTGTGTCAGAGCTGATTGAAAGTATATGAGACAGATGGTTGACTACCAACACCACATGGCATGGACTATGGAAGATCATCTGTGTCCGAACTGATTGAAAGTATATGAGACAGATGGTTGACTACCAACACCACATGGCATTTACTATGGAAGATCATCTGTGTCAGAACTGATTGAAAGTATATGAGACAGAAAGTTGTGGATAGACATGACTACCAACACCACATGACATGGACTATGGAAGATCATCTGTGTTAGAACTAATTCAGTGTCGAGAAAAGAAATGCTTGGTGTTTCTTAGCAAAAGTTAATGGTCGACGTTTGGTGCAAGAGAGCCTAGCATATGATACCACAACATCCAGCTTAAGAATGGAGGTGGAGGCGGTCACTGCAGCTTTCCACTGGTTAGAGAACACCACACACACACGCACACACACGCACGCACGCACGCGCACACACACACACACACACACACACACACATCATGGTTGTAACTGACTCAGAAAGCATGCTGAGGAAGGTCAGGACAGGCATGCTTTGTGCAGAGTGGCATGCCTAGCTTTGGAGGACACGGGTGAGGAGTGTTGTCTGGATTTTTTAACCAGGATATGCCGGTGTGTTGGAGAATTAACAGGCGGACATACGAACATATGCCAGGGGTGCGGCGGCAGTAATAAATAAAAGTCAGCCAAACGTGAAATTATTAAAGAAGGCATGCAGATACTTGAGACTTAAAATTAAAGTTGTCTTTCCCCGCCACTTTTGAAAATAGTTTATTGTTTGTTTCACAATCAGAGGTGTTTCATATTGCATATAATGAAACTGCAATATGCTAAGAATTGTCAGTTGTCAAGGTGCGACCGATGCTCTTCCTGCATTCATTAAGGTGCTGTTGATAAATAAAGTTGTTGTTACATTGTCTCAGCAGATACCTAGTCTCACTTTTCCCTTGAGTGCCGAGCATCTGCCAGATCCCCTAGTAACTCCTTGCAGGGCAATACTCCTCAGACCGTAATGATCTGTCTGTGCCTCTGCACTGTTCACTCGCTCCCAAAGGGCCCTCACAATATCTAGCTTGTCATACAAATATTCACCACCAAGTGGTGCAGAACCGGCCAGTCTATCTGTCTGCTCATTTTCCATCACACCGGCATCACATGGAGAAAATATCCAAAGGGCACCAACTACCCGGGACCTCTGAATTGATGCTTGCCACTCTGCACGGAGCATGCCTGTCTCAACCTTTCTCAACATGCTCTGTGAGTCAGTTACAATCATAGCATGTGTGTACAGCTGATTCTCAAGCCAGTGGAAGACAGCCTCCACCTCCATTCTCAAACTAGATGTTGCGATATCATTTGCAAGGCTTTGTTGCACTAAGTGATGTCCATTGGTTTTCTTCTATGAACCCCCATGCATCTCATCTGCCTCTCAACACAGAGCCATATGTATAGATTATCACATCACTTAGGGGTTGTCATGAATTATTTGTTGATCTTCTGATTCTGCAGCACCAACTGGCCAGTCCTTACACTTACGACCTAAAGTGATTAAAACCCTACACAAGTCTGTCTGAAACTTGTTAGGACACCTTGACCCACTCCTCTTCTCACCCAAATTTATCATTTATTAAGCCTACACACATGTCCAATTGTGTCTTCTGCTTGCACCATCCAAGATTGTTGACTATGAAAAAGTTTGACATTTTTCAGATGAATTGGACAGTAAAATAATGACACGAATTGTAGTCAAGATGTATCCTTTGTTCACTAAAATTATGCTAAACCAGTAACCATTTTAACCAGTAGAAACATTCTTTCTCTTCTTTTACTTCAGCATTCCGAGCCCTTAAGGTTCTTTCCTGTAGATATCACCCACCTCCATTCATCTCTTTGGAGGACCTGCTAGAATATTGGACTTTTCAAGAAACTCCAGGGTTTTCTTTGTTTGGGGTGAATTAAAAATAAAGTACCTCATAGTCACCCTCCTGTTGTCATTAGTTCTCACTCTGATAGTCGCAACCCTTGGGGGTGGGGGGGGGGGGGTCGAACAACCCTTTCACATGGGGTTGCCTAAGACCATCGGGAAACACATATTCACTGAAGTAATGAAGTAGCAGCGAAAATAATTGTATGGTTGGGGGTCGCCATAACATGAGAAACTGTTTTAAAGGGTCGCAGCATTAGGAAGGTGGAGAACCACTGTGTTAAAGGGTTGCAGCATTAGGAAGGTGGAGAACCACTGTGTTAAAGGGTTGCAGCATTAGGAAGGTTGAGAACCATTGAGTTAAAGGGTTGCAGCATTAGGAAGGTGGAGAACCACTGTGTTAAAGGGTTGCTGCATTAGGAAGGTGGAGAACCACTGTGTTAAAGGGTTGCGGCATTAGGAAGGTGGAGAACCACTGTGTTAAAGGGTTGCTGCATTAGGAAGGTTGAGAACCACTGTGTTAAAGGGTTGCAGCATTAGGAAGGTGGAGAACCACTGTGTTAAAGGGTTGCAGCATTAGGAAGGTTGAGAACCACCGTGTTAAAGGGTTGCAGCATTAGGAAGGTGGAGAACCACTGTGTTAAAGGGTTGCAGCATTAGGAAGGTGGAGAACCACTGTGTTAAAGGGTTGCAGCATTAGGAAGGTTGAGAACCACCGTGTTAAAGGGTTGCAGCATTAGGAAGGTTGAGAATCACTGAGTTAAAGGGTTGCGGCATTAGGAAGGTTGAGAACAACTGTGTTAAAGGGTTGCAGCATTAGGAAGGTTGAGAACCACTGTGTTAAAGGGTTGCAACATTAGGAAGGTTGAGAACCACTGTGTTAAAGGGTTGCGGCATTAGGAAGGTTGAGAACCATTGATTTAAAAGGGTCGCGGCATTAGGAAGGTTGAGAACCATTGAGTTAAAGGGTTGCAGCATTAGGAAGGTTGAGAACCACTGTGTTAAAGGGTTGCAGCATTAGGAAGGTTGAGAACCACTGTGTTAAAGGGTTGCGGCATTAGGAAGGTTGAGAACCAATAAGGTAAGGGTCTCGGCATTAGGAAAGTTGAGAACCACTGTGTTAAGTAACGATGACCAGGGTGATGATGGCCACAAAACCATTGTGTACCAACTATCTGTAAACCTTGCATCATATGCCCAGTGCCCCAATGGCTAGAGAAGGCTCCTTCAGTCTTCTTCTCCACATTCACCGGCTGTAAACTCTGGCAGAAGGTTCTGGCTGTTTATCTGGCTCTGGGCATTACTCTTCTTCCAGAATCTGAGTGTAGTGCGCACATCCATTTTACAGATCTGACCTGCTTGTTTGCAGATTGTTGCTTCCTTGCCTCTCAGGCAGATGCACTCCGACTTCAAAGGAAACCCTCCCCCCCAATAAGTCGACTCGTACAGCATGCTTGTTGGGGAGGTAGTGGGTCTATTCTTTAAGTTTTCCCCTCAATGGGGTTCCGCAACCCACATGGGAAGGTCCTATAGTGACTTTCAGAGAGCACACTGGGTATCACCTTGACAAATCTCCCTCACCAAAGTGCCAAGACACAGCTAGCAACTGTTCAGCTGAGAAAAGTCGTCGATGAGCGACTGGCAGAAAAAGCCAACTTGGCGGATAAACTAAAGGAAATACGAACAACCGAACACACAGGACAGGTAGGTTGGGTTTTTGTTAACATTCTCTTTCTCTTTGAAACTGACATAATTTTGTTTCTGTCATTTCTTTTTCTTGCTAAAAGTGAGAGGAAGACCAAGATGGATAAATGGTGTAGCAGAAAACTGCAAAAAAGTGAACAAATCCATCACCCAAGCCACCTGAGAAGTGCAAGACATAAACAGAAAACCATGACACTTGGCCACAACCTGGTATCAGTGAGGTGACAAAAGAAGAAGAAGAAGAAGAAGAAGAAGAATACATTCTACTTTTGCCATGGTGATTATTATATTAATCTCTGCTAGACATCGAGGTTCAGAAGCTGGAACAGGTCCAAGATGCAGATAATTAAGACTTCAGATGGTTTTACTGGTTCACTACAAAAATGAAACTGTCCTTGCTGCCTGAATTCACAACTTGTTAGAGAGGTGGAGAGCAATGACTGCAGTAATTTTCATATTTTATGTAATCTTTCTTTGTGAATTGAAATGGGGAAAAAAAGAATCCTTAAAAGCTATATAAATCTTATCTTGATATACGAAAATTAATCATGGACAGTTGGTAGATTAGCCAGAAATTATTTGGAAGCTGTGGAGATGTGGTTTTATAGATGAATGATAAGAATACCTTGGAGAGATAACAAGAGCAATGAAGACGTCTTGAAAAAAACTAACTCACGAAGAGAACTGATTGCCACATCAGAAAGAAACAGTCTGCATTCTTTGGTCATGTCATGAGAAGGAGAAAACTGGAGTCTACATTGAGACAGTAGGAAGGTTGGGGGGAAGGAGAGGGAAACCGAGAGAAAAGATGAACGAACGAACGAACAAACTTTATTTTCAAAGGGTTACAAATTAGGCACGCAGGCCTGTCTTACATTCGGCCCTTCCAAACTTCCATCTTTCACACAGCAGTTATATTCATGAAGCATGTTATATTCATGTAATAATATGCATATTATATATATGAAGTAAAAAACAAAAGCATGGCTGGTAAAATATGTACGCACGCTCACGCGCGAACACACACACCCACATACACACACAAGCCCAATGACTCACTTACACACAAACATATAGGCACTAAGTACACACATACATCCACATTCATACTAACATGCACACACACACATACATACATACATACATACATACATACATACATCCATACATGCATGCATGCATGCATGCATACATACATACATACATACATACATACATACATACATACATACATACATACATACATACATACATACATACATACATACATACATACACACGCTCTAAAACACACACGCATACAATCCATGCATGGCATGGAGGATCATCTGTGTCAGAGTTGATGGAAAGTACATGAGAAAGAAAACTGTGGATCGACATGACTACCATCACCACACCGTAAACTTTAAGAAGAAGAAAAAGAGGAATGGCATCAGTGCTCTCAACTCGGAGAGAAAACAAAGGAATGACTGGTCACATTGTTAAGAACTTAGGGCTCTCATGCAAGAGATATAGCTTCAAATCCTCAGTAAGGTTCAGCATGTTTTTAGCCCGGGCACATAGTAAAATCCTGACCTGCACAGTCCATGGCAACAGCACTAGCCACGCGGCCCTAAATCCTCAGGCTCAAAGACCTGCCTGGTTGCACCGCAGAAGTGGTAGAAAAGACAGTAATGGCAATTTGTTTTGCAGTAGGATAGGGTGGGGGGGGGGGGGGGGGGAGGGGTGTTAAGATATATTAACATCTCTTATGCTAAACTACGTTCTTGTGATGTACTTTCTAATCCTTCACTGTAGTTCTGCAGAACCATCTACTCCCAGTTGTTTTCAGTTGTCATAAGCTTATTGCAGCTGATCAAAAATTCATTAAGGGAAGTTGTTTGGAGCTCATATTTCTTGCAGTAAAGTAAATAATGTACAGTATTATTATTTATCTGACTTACAGAACAGATGTCTTCTGCCATAACATAAACAAGCCACTCCAACCAGCAGTCTTAGTAGTTTTTTTTTTTTTTAGTTCACTTGTTTGACATTTTCTACAAAGTAAAAGTAATTAATAATAGTAAGTAAGTAAGTGAAGTAAAGTAAGTAATAGTAAGTAAGTAGAAAGCGGCGTCCGTGGCTTAGGCGTTGCGAGTCCGACTCGTAATTCCAACGTACCTTGATCGAAACCACTGCTGGCTGCGTGGGTTGATATAATGGTATGGGGTGTCGCAGGTCGACCCAGCCTAAAATGGGTACCAGGATGGCTGTCCTGTGGAAGTAAAGATGGCCAGCGTAATGCTGACCACATTACCCACTTAGTGCCGATTGGTCTGTAAAAATATGGGGTGCTTTTCCCATATACCCGATGCGCCTAAGGCGTAAAAAGGGATCTTTACTTTACTTACTTTAATTTGACATTTTCTAGTTAGAGCTTTCAACACTTTGTAGTTATGTCTTCTCTTTAATTAAGCGTCTGTTCCACATCCCTATCCCGTTCTTTTGTTATTCAAATTACTGGTTTAAAATCATAGTTGATTTTTGTTGTTTTGTTTGCCCCATAGGATGGGCAGCGTTGTGAGAGTTTTGAGGATGGTGGAAATATACTGTCCATGGAGGTCGACGAGATGGAGCAAATAGAGGATAGTAACAGGCAGAGTACCAGGTTTCCTTTACTGTTCAGTGCTTCTAGCTTCTTCTTCTGTAAAAAGTAAAGTAAAGCACCTTTATCCACTTCTTTAGGTGTGTGGGGAATATAGGGCTACACCTATATTTGTAGAGACCAATTGGCACTTGGCGAGTGATGTGGTCAGCATCATGCCGGCCGCCTTTGCTTCCCAGGACTGCACCTGGTACCCACTCAAGGCTGGGAGTCAAGGTCATTTATGAAAAAAGTATGGGGCTGTCATGACGCGAACCGATGACCTTCCGATCCGCAGGCAGGCGTCTAACCACCAACGCCACAGCGACTCCCTTTTCTTCTGTGACTGCCCTTAAAAGGATGGTTGGCATCTTATGTTGTAGTTTACAGCTAGACTGAGATATCTGCACCTTTTGGCCCAAGACATTCGATTTTAGCAAACCCTAAATTAGTTGCCTATTGAAGTCATGGAAACATGGAGAACAACTAAGGCAGTTACTAATCTTGTCATCCCCTTGTGGAATGCAATTTTTCGTCATTTGAAGCCCTACTCTGGCTCTTGCCAGGGGTCGCAATATAGCCTGGCCATAATTATGGTCTAATAGCTGGACGTGATTTCTGGGAACCTCTGGTGATCCTTATCCACATGGTGGCACTTTGTGTCATTGCTTGTGTGATGTCCTGGTGGGGTAAAAGAAGATAGATAGAAGGCAGTTATTAATAAACTTCAAACATTCATTAAATGTTACCTGCGCAGAATAGAGGGAATTCAATAGTATGATGGAATCAGTTATGTAGAGTTTTGGGAGGTCTTTTTACTGGAACCCTCAGGGGCATAAAAAAAAAGGAAGACCCACACAAAACACACACACACATGGAGATGTGAGCTTGAGAGGGAAAGTAAAAGGATGGGGAGGGGAGGATATGGGGAGAGTTGCATGTGATGTTGAAGGATAGAATGACTTGGCGTGAGTTGTTTGAGGGCCTGTGCTCCATTGGGAGTCAGAAAGGCAGAAGAAGAATTAAAATTAAAGTAAACAGGTACAGTCAAGAAGATTGACTTCATTGCACTGAGTCTGTCTTTAGAGAATGGCTAGTCAACTATTAGCATGAAAACTGCAGAGGTTTTGCAAAAAATTGCACTTGTGAACTCAACAATGCAGCCGTGAAAGAAACACATGACCTTCAGAGCACGAGGCAAGCAGTTTAACCATGTTGCCAAAAATGACCCTCTGCAAGTTGCATTTTAAGACATGCTTGATTTGGGACTGGGAGTCTAGTCTACCCCTCTCCTTTTTTCAATGAACCCAGAGAACCCACATGTGTCCTTTCTAGGTAACAATTAAGATAACGAAGTTTGTTGCTTTTTCAGATTATCATTTTCTGATGTTTTTGCAATCATAAATTATATTAAGTCGAGAGACCAAGCAAGATCATGTATCCAATTTTATAAGAAAGTGCAGCTGAACTATTACGGCCAAGCACTCATAATGGATAAGACCAGACTCCGCCATCAAGCCCTCATACGGACACCAAAAGGAAAAAGATAGTGAGGAAGATCAGGAGACCCTGCGGAGAACCATCATCAGAGAAGGCTCAACCATGGACCTATTGAACAACTAAAACCTAAAACAAGTGGCAATAAACCACCAGGCATGGAGAGCTCTGACCTCTGCTGTATGCTGCACCCCAGGCTCAAGACCAAAGACTTACTAACTAATAGATTACCATAATCAGTGCCATTGCTACTTGGAAAACTGAAAATAAGAAGCAACAATGAAATTCATAATCTGTTTAAATCGCCACTAATTACTGGATTGTTCATTTAAAAATCATCTTCATCGCACATCGGACTTGACCATCAGTGCTCTGATCTCCTCCTGAATATAATTAGTGGATGATAAGAGCTTATAGGCTGTGATGGTTGACAAATATAGAAAGAATGGCAGATAACAGAGAGGGGAAAAGTAATTCCACAAAAGAGTTGGAAACGAGTTGACCACAAGGCAGACCAAGAAAATGATCATTATCATTAAGCACCTTGCCACCTGGCATAGGCGTTCATGCATCTGTTTTTGGTGTTCTGGATCAATTCCACTGATGATATTCCTTTATGCCACTGTCTTAAGCCACCCACCATCATTTTTCTTGGTCTGCCTCTGCTTCTTCTACCAGTGATCTTTCCAGGCATCACGGTATTCTCCAGTGCTCCTTTTCTCATCACATGACCAAAGAACTTTGTCTCCTTCTCATTGTTGTATGTAACGTTCTTCTTTCACCAGAAAATAATGCAGATATAATGAACAGGCAGACCTATGAGCGCATAGAGTCATCTACTGGAAGGAGAAGATCCATCACAGAGATGATTGGAGGTGGGTGATATTTGCAGCCAAAAAAACTGAAGTGCTCAAAATGCTGAAGAAGAACTTCGCTGCATATCAGACATTGCCAACATCTGCTAAAGTCAAAGTGTCTGTCTCGCAATATCAAGATCAAAATATATAAAACGTTGATAAGGCTAGTCATTTTAACTGGCTCTGAAACCTGAAGACAACTAAAAGAGATAAAGAATTATTACAAATGTTTGAAAGTCTTACAACGAATCCTTTACATGAGGTTGCAGAACTAAACCCAGCAATTGTTGTGTGGTGTGTGTGGCTAAAATGGTTTTTCTAGACAAATTTAACCTTCATTAGTTTGCCATTGCTTACTGAAAGGTCTGCTGTCGTTACCACTATGAAAACTAACGCAAGACAAATCGTTCACAGCTGGTATCGAACCCGGCATTACAAAGCGTGATCACAACGCCTAAAGGCCGAGGTTTATGTCTGTAGAGATTAAATATTGTATCCAAGACCTCAGATTTTATGAGAACTTATCACTTTGTCCAGGGAAGAGGTCGAAGGTTTCTCTGATATGAGTATCACTGACAGCCATCAGGAAGGCCCTGGTGGAGAGGGGCAACAGCAGAATCCACACTCTGGTATGGATGGGTTAAACATGAAGGACACTGCAGATAACTACTGTCAAGGTAGGAGATTCTTTCTTCTTCTTCTTTTGTTCACTTAAATTAGATTATTTATTTCTACAAATGTTGTCTCTGGTATGAACTTCACTGTCTGTTGTAGTTCATTCAGCGACCCGTAAAGTTTGGCTTGCACCGATGTTTCTAGTGGTCAAAGGTTTTGTCTTGATATGTTGTATTTGGGACAGTCTTGGAGGACGTGAGCTGTTTTCTCAGGTGCCAGTCGACATGTACACGTGGCTGGTTCGCCAATTTTAAATTTTGTTTATATATGGCGTAGAATAATGACTTGCTCTGGTCTTTTCTGGGGAGAGTTTGAATGCTGCATGAAGTTGTGTTTGACCCGTAAGTATAATGTGTGTTTGTTACTGGACACATTAGGACACACTGAGGTACGTAACCAGACATTAGGACACACTGAGGCAAGTCACCAGACATCAGGACATACTGAATACATCACAAGATATTGGGACACACTGAGATACATCACCAGACATTGGGAGACACTGAGATACATCACCAGACATTGGGACACACTGAGATACATCACCAGACATTGGGACACACTGAGACACGTCACCAGACATTACATTGGGACACACTGAGACACGTCACTAGACATTGGGACACATTGAGACACATCACCAGACATTGGGACACACTGAGACACATCACCAGACATTGGGACACACTGAGACACATCACCAGACATTGGGACACACTGAGATACATCACCAGACATTGGGACACACTGAGATACATCACCAGACATTGGGAGACACTGAGATACATCACCAGACTTTGGGACACAATGAGATACATCACCAGACATTGGGACACACTGAGACATGTCACCAGACATTGGGACACCCTGAGATACATCACCAGACATTGGGACACCCTGAGATACATAACCAGACATTGGGACACACTGAGATACATCACCAGACATTGGGACACCCTGAGATACATAACCAGACATTGGGACACACTGAGATACATCACCAGACATTGGGACACACTGAGATAAATCACCAGACATTGGGACACACTGAGATACATCACCAGACATTGGGACACACTGAGACACGTCACCAGACATTACATTGGGACACACTGAGACACATCACCAGACATTGGGACACACTGAGACACATCACCAGACATTGGGACAGACTGAGACACATCACCAGACATTGGGACACACTGAGACACGTTACCAGACATTGGGACACACTGAGATACATCACCAGGCATTGGGACAGACTGAGGCACGTTACCAGACATTGGGACACACTGAGGCACGTTACCAGACATTGGGACACACTGAGACACAGCACTGTCTGCAGAGGAGTTTTGCCTGCACGTCCACATTACAGATCTGGCTTATTTTTATGCACGCTGTTGATTCCCTGGCCTCAGGCAGATGCACTGTGACTTCAAAGGGAACCCCCAGTGTGACATGCTTGTTGTCTACTCTTGTTCCCCCCCCCCCTTTTTGAACTCACACAGGAATAATAAATTGTCTTTGAACCCTTATCTCTTTCCCGTCTTACAGAGCAGTAGTTGGGCTGATTTGACCAGCTAACGAGAATGCCCTGGTGGCAACTGCCACAAACAGCCATGCTGAAGAATTATAAAAAATATGGATCCAGGAGAAGAACATGCAAAAGATGGAACAGTGACATCAAGAAGGGCCTTAAAGAAGTGAAGACCCACTTATACAACTCACTAGAAAGAGCATACCTTACATGCTCCACCAAAGGATGGATGAGGTGACTGGAGAAAGAGAAGAAGAATAATGTCTCCTGTACAGTATTTTTATCACCACCCACAGGAAAGACTTTGTGCTTTCCCAGTTTTCCAGCCTCATGTTTTTCATATCCTTCTTCCTCTTCTTTGGGATTGGCCATGGCGAAGTGGCTAGACGCTTTCCTGCGGATCAGAAGGTCATGGGTTTGCTCCCTGGCGAAGCAGGAATTTTTTCAAACATGACATTGACTCCCAGGTCGATCCAGCCTTGAATGGGTACCAGGTGCAGTCCTGGGAAGTAAAGGGGGCTGGCATAATGCTGACCACATCAGCCATCTTGTGCCAATTGGTCTATAAAATACAGGTCTACCCCTATATGCCTAAAGGCGTGGAATAGGGTCACTTACTTTTACTTCTTCCTTTTCTCTATCTTCTTAGCATTAACCGGCTGTGAACTCTGGCAAACGTTTCTAGTAGTTGATTCACTTCTAGACTTCAGTCTTGTTCTAGAACTTGAGTTTTGCCTGCACATCTTTTCTACAAATCTGGCTTATTTTTATGCAGACTGTTGGTTTCTTGCCTCTCAGGCAGAAGCACTCTGATTTCAAAGCAAACACTCCTAATTAGCCATGTTGGGGATGTGGTGGGGGGTGGGGAGGAGGGATTGGGGGTGGGTGGAGTGGATCTAGTCTCCCCCTCCCCTAAATGGAGGTCCAGGAATCTACACTGGAAGTTTTTCATATCTAAAGCATCCATATTGTCCCATATCAACAAAACAGTTTCATGAGGATTAATGCAGTTATCTAGGTTTTTTCCCCTCCCACAGAAGAGGCCTCAAATATCTTACAGAGAAAACAGGTTCCAGAGATGAATGTGGTAACTGTTCAACCTCAGGGAGTCCTGACACATGATGATGGTGGGCGGATGCTGAAAACTAATGATTCAGATCGAATGGATGTGACCAAAGCGGCTGCTTTTAATGAGATAAACCTGGGAAATGTTTTTGCTGGAAAGGTTAACGAAAGTTGTTGTTAAATAATTTTAAAAAAAATTTATTTATTTATTAGTTGTGTAACTTTTACAGGGTCTTGCAGAACCAATTCCGGCATTTTTGGGGCTGTTGCGGTTTTTCTAGGCAAATTTTATGTCCAGTAGTTTGCCATTCTACTGAACGGTCGGCTATCGGGACTGCTGTTGAAACCATCGTAAGACAAATCATGTGCAGCTAAGATCCAACCCGACAGCCGGCATTATGTAGTGCGTTTGCAAGGCCTAAGCCACAGGCTCTGACTGGGCCATGATACATTTGTTAAAAAAACAATAAATACTTGATGTTTTAGGATAAAGTTGTTGTAGCATAAGTTAACAAATTGATGATTTTGTATAAAGTTGTTTCTAAGTAGTCTAAATAATTCATGTGTTAAGCTAAAAAGGTTAATGAAATGACTTTTAGGATCTTCTTCTTTTTCTTCTTTTGTCAAAATCTGCATGTGCCGCTAGGCGTCGCAGTCTATCAGATGATCGGCAACCGAGCCAGGGCGCGCTCAGTCGCTTCATATGCCGTGATGTTATGAAATCTCAAGTTGTCCGTGACTCCTTCAATCCATCTTCTTCTTGGTCTTTCCCTGCCTCTTGGTGTTTCGATTTTCATGTTGTATGCTCTTGATGCTGGCATCGTTGGTTCCATTCTCATTAGGTGACCAAACCATTTCATTCTTTGCTTCTCAATAAATTTAATGATGGGTATGGTTCCAATAGTTCTTGTAATCACATCGTTTCTCACTCGATCTCTTCTGGTTTTATTCGCAGCCATTCTCAAACATCTCATTTCACAGGTGGTTTTAGGATAAAGTTGCTAAATGATTGGATTTGTATGCTAATGACTCATATTGACCTAGGAACATCCTTACTAAAGGAAGAAAGCTTCCCCACTTATCTTCGAGTGACATTAAATAAAAAGCTCACGTGGAGCAAACATATAGAAAACGTAGAAGGAAAGCCAGGAGATGACTAGGGCTACTTAGAAAACTGGCAGGTACAAGTTGGGGAGCGAATGTAAAAACCTTAAAGAAAATGTATAATGGAGTGAAAAGACCCCACTTGGAGTTTGATGCAACAGCTTGCTCAACAGCTGCAATCATCAGACAGAGTGCAAAATCAAGCCCTTAGACTCATCACTGGATCCATGAAAACTGCACCAATCCTAGAGATGCAGAGAATAAATGCAATGCAGACATTGTCCTATAGAAGAGACACTCAAACTATGATCCAGATGGAGAAATTTAATAGTATGCTGTCACATCCAATGAAATAAAAACAGGTGTGCAACATGGATGTCTTTTGGATTTCTCTTCTGTCTCATTCATGGAATCAGATGCAAGATAAATTAAATATACTTGAAACGAGATCCCAGCAGCTTGGTCTGAAAATCCATTAAAGAAAGACAAAGATAATCAGTCAAATAATAGTGTGGTTTCTCTTAATGGCACCTTATTCCAAGACGCGGAGTCGTACACCTATTTGGGCAGTAATGTAGATAAAGATGGGAGAACTGATAGAGATAATTTTTTTTTAAAATACAAAAGGCAAGAGGAGCTTTCAAAGCGCTAGGGAATTTGTGGAGGTCAAACAAATAAAAAAAAAAAAAATAGTGTACCTAAAATTTTTAATTCTAATGTCAAATCTGTACTTTTGTATAGGGCGGAAACTTGGAGAACAACTAAGGCAATTACTAATAAATTACAGACATTCATGAACTGGTTCCTGTGCAGAATAGAGGTAATGTAATGGTATGATATAATAAGTAATGTAGAGGTTTGGGCGAGAACTAAGCAAGCTCTAGTGGACCAAGAGGTGAGGAAAAGACGCTGGCATTGGATAGGACACACGCTGAGAAAACCGGAAAACAGCATAACTAGAATGTCTTTGTTTTGGAACCCATGGGGGCATAGGAATAAGGGAAGGCCAAAAACACACGGAGAAGAAAGCTGTAGAAGGAAGTTAGAAAGATGGGGAGAGCTGCATGCAATATCGAAGGATAGAACGACTTTGCATGAGTTGGTTGAGGGCCTAAGACCATTGGGGGATAGAAAGGCAGAATAAGAAGTCACATCCAATGAAAGCAAGATTAGATGATCTGGCATTGGGGCGTCCCACAGCTTTGTCCATCAGGGGAAAAGACTTAGAAGACAATACCAAGCAGAACTACCCATGAGAACAACACCGCGGAAACCTACCCTATACCCTGTACCTTAGGAGCAAGTCACTGATACAATACAGATAATGACTTCAGTCAACACTCACAGCCGGAGATGAGTCTAATGACCTTCAAAAACGAACAGCTGCCCTTAGCGTGATTCATGAAAACTATCCCAAATAGTTGTGGATACATGTTTACACGGATGGATCAGCAACCAGTGCGGTTAAAAATGGGGGTGCTGGAGTCTTTATTACATACCCAGGCAACCACTGCCACACTAAGTGTACACCCATTGATGAACTCTGTTCCAACTATACAGCAGAGATCCTAGCACTAGAGCGGGCTGCCCAAACTCCCTCACCTAAGATATGAACTTGGCAAGTTGGCTGTCCAAAAGTGTACTGTACTCCAGTGGGTGCCATCCCACTGTGGTAGTATACCAGGAAATGAAACCACAGATAAACTTGCTTAGAAAGGAGCAGAATGTGAACAGGAAGAGAATGCAGTATCATACTATGAGAAGACAAAAAGCCATCCAGTATATCAGAAATGAACAGTCTGGCCAGAGATGATCACCACTTACTTGACCGGCATGGGCAGGTCATTATCCTACGTCTGAGGACAGGACATAACAAACTTAACCAGCATATGCACAGGCTTAGTCTAAGTAGTTCACCTTTGTGCCTGTGTGGGCTGTGTGTGCAGACTACAGAACATGTCCTGCAAGAATGTCCCTTGTACAGCCCATCAAGAAGGGAATACTGGCCCAATGAGTCAACACTGCACTCAAAGCTGTATGGAACTAAAAAGGAACCCTTAAAAACAGTCAAGTTTATCTCAAGAACTTGTCTGACGGTGTAAATCATAAAACAAACACAAGAAGACGAAGAAGAAGTTTGCTAATGTTGCTGTACATTTTAAATAATTAAGTTAAGAATAAAGTTGTTGTCACAAAGGTTAACTTATTGTAGTTTTAGAAATCAAAATGTATTATTGCAGATGCTGCAGCCTAACTGTAAACCACAACACAACATGCCAACAGCCTTTGTTAAAGAGAACACAGAAGAAGAAGTATGATGTTCTCCCTGGAAAGGCTAACCTTGCCAACAAATGCTTGATAAAGTTAGATGTGCTGTGAACAGCCATCATCA